GGAAAGAAAATGCCACAATGATTTGGGTTCTGCCAAGTTTCTGGTGGCTTGGGAAGCAAACCTGCAAACCATACATGCAGTCTCTGCTGGATTACTGCCACCATGGTAGTATCAGTTAGCACTAAATGCCAGCAACCAGAAGATGAGTCCCAAAATGAAAGTGAATCCTTGCAGTGCATGAATATTTGGAGTGCCTGCTTCAACTATCCAGCTTCCTCGGGGTTCACTTGTCTGCAATCGCTATTTCAAGGAGGTCTGCAGCCATTCCAGCATAACCCTGGACACTAAACATGAGGTACTAGCTCAATACCTAAACAAACATAATGCTAGATAGCTTATCACCAGCAGGTTTTCCCAAAATTCAAATGTAACATGGTGAAAGGGAAACCCTTAGAAAAGGGATGCAAATGCACCTTTCCCTAAAAATCCCAGGTATTTTCTCATGGCATGGAATATTTAGACTCCACAACTCATGTAGTGAACCCAGGGACATAGACCAAGTGTGTCTAGGTTTCTGTTGTCCTCTTTTTGGAAACAGCATCTTATGTAGTTGTTGAAAGAGGCCTTGAGAAAAATTCGTAGCCCAAGATGGACTGGAACTCCCAAGGATCCATCCACCTCAGCCCCCAGATTGCTGGGATTATAGGCATGAGCCACCATGCCAAGCATGTGCACAGAGATTCTTACATAATTTGTGAAATCCCACTACTGGTCTATAGGTAGCTTCTGTGCTTCAGGCTTTAGTAATATGCCTCTCTTTGTTTCGGCTCCCCTTGTTCAGGTGTCCATTTCTATTGTGAGAAGCTCCAGGCCGCAGGCAAGGGGGAGGCTGCCCTTCCTCTGGTGTGTCCTTGGATGATTACAGCCCAGGTGAACAGGGATCAAATATATTGGATCCTGTGCATTTGAAGAGGAAATGAGTAAAGATTCATGAGTTAATGTGGACATGCCAGGGAATTGAGGGCCCATGATAGAGACAAAACTTCAGGCCATGGGCTGAAGGCTGAGGCTTCTGTACCTCTAGCTTCTTGAATAGTGGGCCTGCGGAGCAATTGTGTGCTCTCAAATGTAATTTGATGGGTTTTGTTTTAATTTATTTTTTTTTTTGCTTTGTTTTTTTACATGGAAGGAACAGGACCATGGTTTGAAGAAGTTGGAGTGTCTTACCTAAGAGAAATTTGAAAAAAGGGACAATTCAGCAGCCAAGAATTTCTCAAATGCCCTTGTCGTTTTAAAAAAAGTGACATAAAGTTGAGCGCGTCATGTCCATGTCTCTTTACAAAAGATTTTACCTCCTATTTCATAGGAATTACTGTTTCTTTGAAAGGTCAACCTGCACTGAAATAAAGATAATCCCTCCTTTCCTCATTCTGCTTGAAACCACATCCTTTGTTAGTTATATTTTCTTACCCAGAAACACTTGGAGATGACTACAGCAAGAGTTTCCCATTGGTGGAATTTCCACGGAGACACATGAAGTAATACTGCACAACTTCATTTGAAGTGCACTGTCCCTTGACAATGGCAAGTCTGGGCAAACCTCTAGTAACTGAAAACCTTAGAAAGTCTGAAAGTGAGTGAATGAAAATGGGCCTCTCCACATTTGGACAGGGCCTCTCCTGAAGCACACATTTGTGGAAAAAGTAATTATGAGAGAGGAATGAACTCCCAAAACGGAATGGAAATTTTCTTGTTTAGGCCTGGAACGCTATGGCCTGGAGCCCTGTGGTTCTAACTGGATGAGCAAAGTGTGAGCAGAGATCAAAGTAAAACGCACACCATTTAGGGAACTCGATATTTAACCAGGCGTGCAGAGTAGTGGCAAACTCTACTTGTGTCAATTTGCTCAAATCCTGTCTTCACAAGAAAGTAAATTCCAGCACGACCAGTGACTAGAGGAGGACACATTTCAAAGGACTTGGAAAAGTCCAACACTGAATTTAGCCCAACACTGAATTTAGATGAAAAGTAGCAGAGTCTGTTTGTATTTCAAGTTTTAATAGCAGAAACTTATAACATGTAATAGCTGTTACATGAATAACTTCAGAGCTTTTGGAGAGGTCTAAATCACTATAAGTGAGGGCTTCCCTGAGTCACAAAGTTAAAAATAGTAAAAGAAACAATTTGAAAAACCAATCAACCAATAAATACAAACACTAAGTCCAAGGGTTTCACTGGTTTTAAAACCACTTATGGAATGCACAACTATTGAAGAGGCTTTCTCTGCATTCTGCTTTACTCAGGCCCGGTACATGAGCAACTGTGAAAACAAAATTCAAAATGTTATGTGAAGTGACCATTTCATTGTTGAAACCATGACGCAATAGACATTTTCTCTTTTGAAACTTCACACATTATCCATATATGTTCTCAAATGGAAGGAATACACAGGATTTAGGCTGAATTTTTTTTTTCAGTATTTTGTGTTCCACCAGATTTATCTGAAGATCTCCTGTCCTGCATCCACTGGCCAATGCAGAAGGCCACACATAGGAGAACCAACATGAGAAGTTCACTTCTACAGCCTGATTATATCATCATGAGAATATAATTTTCCTTTCATCATCAAAGATTTTTACATCAGATTAACCAGCTCTCTTGCTTTCCCATGTTTTTCCCTGGTTTTTGTACCTTGAAATGGGTGTGCACTCTTCTCAGGCTTGATCTCCATCTTCCCCCGTATTTCCAAACATATTCATCTGGGAAACATGTAAAGATCTTATTCGGGGCTTGTTTCATTGTTTTCAAATATCTGCCCTTGAAATTCAACTTCCACCACTGTCTCTCATATCCAAAGCTATGTGCTTGCAGAGGATTTCTGCTGAGAAATTTCACAGAAAACTCTTATACTGCAGGTGAATGATGCCAGCAAGTCTTGACTGAATAGCTTAGGGAACAGGACTCAGCCAAATGACAGACATGACAAGGGAAAAGCGTATGCTCAAGGATAGGACATGGCAGAGATCATCTGCCAGGCCCTGTCATATTTCATATCCCATTGAAAGTACATCCATGTGTAGTTTGGCAAGCATTTCCATCCACAAATTCTGAGCAGTGAAGCCTTCAGAGAGAATATTGTGGCATACCAGGCCAAGAATATTCATCCTATTTAAATCTTGCCCTACAAGGTCCTCTGTGCCACTGAGGTCTCCATGGCAACGCCCAGCATTGTGACTCAGGTCTCCTACTGCACACTTGTATCCAAGAGCCTAAAGTCCAGCTCACAATGGTGCTCAGCCAATCACAGCCCAGTGTGGTTGCCTGGCAACCACAAGCTTGTGGATTTCTGTGAACTGTTTCAGCCCAACTCTGCAGCTTTCCACCTCATACAACCACAGCCATTCCAATCGTGCAATATTTGATTAGCCTCGCTATGTTGCCTCAGAAATTTTTTCACAGTTGTAGTGATCAAGAAAATTTGACATATTTTGAGAAGTGGAGGGAAGTAATTGGAAAACATTTTGGTATGTCTGAGGTCTATGGGTTCCAAACTTGACTACCCCAGTCTTTTAAATTTGCAAACCTAGAGCCTAAAATCCACCTCACAGTGATGTTCAGCCAATCTCAGCCCAGTGTGGTTACCTGGCAACCACAAGCCTGTCGATTTCTGTGAACAGTTTCAGCCCAACTCTGGAGCTTTCCACCTCATACAACCAAAGCCATTCCAATCATGCAGTATTTGATTCACCTCTCTAAGTTGCCTCAGAATTTTCTTTGAAGTTGTGGTGATCACGCAAATTTGACATATTTTGACAAGTGGAGGGAAGTAATTGGCTCTGTCTTTAGCTCTGTTGGTGGTCTATGGGGTCCAAACTTGGCTAGCCCAGTCTATTCAATTTTCAAACTTAGAAAGCCAAATGTTTCAGGGGAGGAAAGAAAATGCCACAATGATTTGGGTTCTGCCAAGTTTCTGGTGGCTTGGGAAGCAAACCTGCAAACCATACATGCAGTCTCTGCTGGATTACTGCCACCATGGTAGTATCAGTTAGCACTAAATGCCAGCAACCAGAAGGTGAGTCCCAAAATGAAAGTGAATCCTTGCAGTGCATGAATATTTGGAGTGCCTGCTTCAACTATCCAGCTTCCTCGGGGTTCACTTGTCTGCAATCGCTATTTCAAGGAGGTCTGCAGCCATTCCAGCATAACCCTGGACACTAAACATGAGGTACTAGCTCAATACCTAAACCAACATAATGCTAGATAGCTTATCACCAGCAGGTTTTCCCAGAATTTAAATGTAACATGGTGAAAGGGAAACCCTTAGAAAAGGGATGCAAATGCACCTTTTCCTAAAAATCCCAGGTATTTTCTCATGGCATGGAATATTTAGACTCCACAACTCATGTAGTGAACCCAGGGACCTAGACCAAGTGTGTCTAGGTTTCTGTTGTCCTCTTTTTGGAAACAGCATCTTATGTAGTTGTTGAAAGAGGCCTTGAGATAAATTCGTAGACCAAGATGGACTGGAACTCCCAAGGATCCATCCACCTCAGCCCCCAGATTGCTGGGATTATAGGCATGAGCCACCATGCCAAGCATGTGCACAGAGATTCTTACATAATTTGTGAAATCCCACTACTGGTCTATAGGTAGCTTCTGTGCTTCAGGCTTTAGGAATATGCCTCTCTTTGTTTTGGCTCCCCTTGTTCAGGTGTCCATTTCTATTGTGAGAAGCTCCAGGCCGCAGGCAAGGGGGAGGCTGCCCTTCCTCTGGTGTGTCCTTGAATGATTACAGCCCAGGTGAACAGGGATCAAATATATTGGATCCTGTGCATTTGAAGAGGAAATGAGTAAAGATTCATGAGTTAATGTGGACATGCCAGGGAATTGAGGGCCCATGATAGAGACAAAACTTCAGGCCATGGGCTGAAGGCTGAGGCTTCTGTACCTCTAGCTTCTTGAATAGTGGGCCTGCTGAGCAATTGTGTGCTCTCAAATGTAATTTGATGGGTTTTGTTTTAATTTATTTTTTTTTTTTGCTTTGTTTTTTTACATGGAAGGAACAGGACCATGGTTTCAAGAAGTTGGAGTGTCTTACCTAAGAGAAATTTGAAAAAAGGGACAATTCAGCAGCCAAGAATTTCTCAAATGCCCTTGTCGTTTTAAAAAAAGTGACATAATGTTGAGCGCGTCATGTCCATGTCTCTTTACAAAAGATTTTACCTCCTATTTCATAGGAATTACTGTTTCTTTGAAAGGTCAACCTGCACTGAAATAAAGATAATCCCTCCTTTCCTCATTCTGCTTGAAACCACATCCTTTGTTAGTTATATTTTCTTACCCAGAAACACTTGGAGATGACTACAGCAAGAGTTTCCCATTGGTGGAATTTCCACGGAGACACATGAAGTAATACTGCACAACTTCAATTGAAGTGCACTGTCCCTTGACAATGGCAAGTCTGGGCAAACCTCTAGTAACTGAAAACCTTAGAAAGTCTGAAAGTGAGTGAATGAAAATGGGCCTCTCCACATTTGGACAGGGCCTCTCCTGAAGCACACATTTGTGGAAAAAGTAATTATGAGAGAGGAATGAACTCCCAAAATGGAATGGAAATTTTCTTGTTTAGGCCTGGAACGCTATGGCCTGGAGCCCTGTGGTTCTAACTGGATGAGCAAAGTGTGAGCAGAGATCAAAGTAAAACGCACACCATTTAGGGAACTCGATATTTAACCAGGCGTGCAGAGTAGTGGCAAACTCTACTTGTGTCAATTTGCTCAAATCCTGTCTTCACAAGAAAGTAAATTCCAGCACGACCAGTGACTAGAGGAGGACACATTTCAAAGGACTTGGAAAAGTCCAACACTGAATTTAGCCCAACACTGAATTTAGATGAAAAGTAGCAGAGTCTGTTTGTATTTCAAGTTTTAATAGCAGAAACTTATAACATGTAATAGCTGTTACATGAATAACTTCAGAGCTTTTGGAGAGGTCTAAATCACTATAAGTGAGGGCTTCCCTGAGTCACAAAGTTAAAAATAGTAAAAGAAACAATTTGAAAAACCAATCAACCAATAAATACAAACACTAAGTCCAAGGGTTTCACTGGTTTTAAAACCACTTATGGAATGCACAACTATTGAAGAGGCTTTCTCTGCATTCTGCTTTACTCAGGCCCGGTACATGAGCAACTGTGAAAACAAAATTCAAAATGTTATGTGAAGTGACCATTTCATTGTTGAAACCATGACGCAATAGACATTTTCTCTTTTGAAACTTCACACATTATCCATATATGTTCTCAAATGGAAGGAATACACAGGATTTAGGCTGAATTTTTTTTTTCAGTATTTTGTGTTCCACCAGATTTATCTGAAGATCTCCTGTCCTGCATCCACTGGCCAATGCAGAAGGCCACACATAGGAGAACCAACATGAGAAGTTCACTTCTACAGCCTGATTATATCATCATGAGAATATAATTTTCCTTTCATCATCAAAGATTTTTACATCAGATTAACCAGCTCTCTTGCTTACCCATGTTTTTCCCTGGTTTTTGTACCTTGAAATGGGTGTGCACTCTTCTCAGCCTTGATCTCCCTCTTCCCCCGTATTTCCAAACATATTCATCTGGGAAACATGTAAAGATCTTATTCGGGGCTTGTTTCATTGTTTTCAAATATCTGCCCTTGAAATTCAACTTCCACCACTGTCTCTCATATCCAAAGCTATGTGCTTGCAGAGGATTTCTGCTGAGAAATTTCACAGAAAACTCTTATACTGCAGGTGAATGATGCCAGCAAGTCTTGACTGAATAGCTTAGGGAACAGGACTCAGCCAAATGACAGACATGACAAGGGAAAAGTGTATGCTCAAGGATAGGACATGGCAGAGATCATCTGCCAGGCCCTGTCATATTTCATATCCCATTGAAAGTACATCCATGTGTAGTTTGGCAAGCATTTCCATCCACAAATTCTGAGCAGTGAAGCCTTCAGAGAGAATATTGTGGCATACCAGGCCAAGAATATTCATCCTATTTAAATCTTGCCCTACAAGGTCCTCTGTGCCACTGAGGTCTCCATGGCAACGCCCAGCATTGTGACTCAGGTCTCCTACTGCACACTTGTATCCAAGAGCCTAAAGTCCAGCTCACAATGGTGCTCAGCCAATCACAGCCCAGTGTGGTTGCCTGGCAACCACAAGCTTGTGGATTTCTGTGAACTGTTTCAGCCCAACTCTGCAGCTTTCCACCTCATACAACCACAGCCATTCCAATCGTGCAATATTTGATTAGCCTCGCTATGTTGCCTCAGAATTTTTTTCACAGTTGTAGTGATCAAGAAAATTTGACATATTTTGAGAAGTGGAGGGAAGTAATTGGAAAACATTTTGGTATGTCTGAGGTCTATGGGTTCCAAACTTGACTACCCCAGTCTTTTAAATTTGCAAACCTAGAGCCTAAAATCCACCTCACAGTGATATTCAGCCAATCTCAGCCCAGTGTGGTTGCCTGGCAACCACAAGCCTGTGGATTTCTGTGAACAGTTTCAGCCCAACTCTGGAGCTTTCCACCTCATACAACCAAAGCCATTCCAATCATGCAGTATTTGATTCACCTCTCTAAGTTGCCTCAGAATTTTCTTTGAAGTTGTGGTGATCACGCAAATTTGACATATTTTGACAAGTGGAGGGAAGTAATTGGCTCTGTCTTTAGCTCTGTTGGTGGTTTATGGGGTCCAAACTTGGCTAGCCCAGTCTATTCAATTTTCAAACTTAGAAAGCCAAATGTTTCAGGGGAGGAAAGAAAATGCCACAATGATTTGGGTTCTGCCAAGTTTCTGGTGGCTTGGGAAGCAAACCTGCAAACCATACATGCAGTCTCTGCTGGATTACTGCCACCATGGTAGTATCAGTTAGCACTAAATGCCAGCAACCAGAAGATGAGTCCCAAAATGAAAGTGAATCCTTGCAGTGCATGAATATTTGGAGTGCCTGTTTCAACTATCCAGCTTCCTCGGGGTTCACTTGTCTGCAATCGCTATTTCAAGGAGGTCTGCAGCCATTCCAGCATAACCCTGGACACTAAACATGAGGTACTAGCTCAATACCTAAACCAACATAATGCTAGATAGCTTATCACCAGCAGGTTTTCCCAGAATTCAAATGTAACATGGTGAAAGGGAAACCCTTAGAAAAGGGATGCAAATGCCCCTTTCCCTAAAAATCCCAGGTATTTTCTCATGGCATGTAATATTTAGACTCCACAACTCATGTAGTGAACCCAGGGACCTAGACCAAGTGTGTCTAGGTTTCTGTTGTCCTCTTTTTGGAAACAGCATCTTATGTAGTTGTTGAAAGAGGCCTTGAGATAAATTCGTAGCCCAAGATGGACTGGAACTCCCAAGGATCCATCCACCTCAGCCCCCAGATTGCTGGGATTATAGGCATGAGCCACCATGCCAAGCATGTGCACAGAGATTCTTACATAATTTGTGAAATCCCACTACTGGTCTATAGGTAGCTTCTGTGCTTCAGGCTTTAGGAATATGCCTCTCTTTGTTTTGGCTCCCCTTGTTCAGGTGTCCATTTCTATTGTGAGAAGCTCCAGGCCGCAGGCAAGGGGGAGGCTGCCCTTCCTCTGGTGTGTCCTTGGATGATTACAGCCCAGGTGAACAGGGATCAAATATATTGGATCCTGTGCATTTGAAGAGGAAATGAGTAAAGATTCATGAGTTAATGTGGACATGCCAGGGAATTGAGGGCCCATGATAGAGACAAAACTTCAGGCCATGGGCTGAAGGCTGAGGCTTCTGTACCTCTAGCTTCTTGAATAGTGGGCCTGCTGAGCAATTGTGTGCTCTCAAATGTAATTTGATGGGTTTTGTTTTAATTTATTTTGTTTTTTTTTTGCTTTGTTTTTTTTACATGGAAGGAACAGGACCATGGTTTGAAGAAGTTGGAGTGTCTTACCTAAGAGAAATTTGAAAAAAGGGACAATTCAGCAGCCAAGAATTTCTCAAATGCCCTTGTCGTTTTAAAAAAAGTGACATAAAGTTGAGCGCGTCATGTCCATGTCTCTTTACAAAAGATTTTACCTCCTATTTCATAGGAATTACTGTTTCTTTGAAAGGTCAACCTGCACTGAAATAAAGATAATCCCTCCTTTCCTCATTCTGCTTGAAACCACATCCTTTGTTAGTTATATTTTCTTACCCAGAAACACTTGGAGATGACTACAGCAAGAGTTTCCCATTGGTGGAATTTCCACGGAGACACATGAAGTAATACTGCACAACTTAAAGTGAAGTGCACTGTCCCTTGACAATGGCAAGTCTGGGCAAACCTCTAGTAACTGAAAACCTTAGAAAGTCTGAAAGTGAGTGAATGAAAATGGGCCTCTCCACATTTGGACAGGGCCTCTCCTGAAGCACACATTTGTGGAAAAAGTAATTATGAGAGAGGAATGAACTCCCAAAACGGAATGGAAATTTTCTTGTTTAGGCCTGGAACGCTATGGCCTGGAGCCCTGTGGTTCTAACTGGATGAGCAAAGTGTGAGCAGAGATCAAAGTAAAACGCACACCATTTAAGGAACTCGATATTTAACCAGGCGTGCAGAGTAGTGGCAAACTGTACTTTTGTCAATTTGCTCAAATCCTGTCTTCACAAGAAAGTAAATTCCAGCACGACCAGTGACTAGAGGAGGACACATTTCAAAGGACTTGGAAAAGTCCAACACTGAATTTAGCCCAACACTGAATTTAGATGAAAAGTAGCAGAGTCTGTTTGTATTTCAAGTTTTAATAGCAGAAACTTATAACATGTAATAGCTGTTACATGAATAACTTCAGAGCTTTTGGAGAGGTCTAAATCACTATAAGTGAGGGCTTCCCTGAGTCACAAAGTTAAAAATAGTAAAAGAAACAATTTGAAAAACCAATCATCCAATAAATACAAACACTAAGTCCAAGGGTTTCACTGGTTTTAAAACCACTTATGGAATGCACAACTATTGAAGAGGCTTTCTCTGCATTCTGCTTTACTCAGGCCCGTTACATGAGCAACTGTGAAAACAAAATTCAAAATGTTATGTGAAGTGACCATTTCATTGTTGAAACCATGACGCAATAGACATTTTCTCTTTTGAAACTTCACACATTATCCATATATGTTCTCAAATGGAAGGAATACACAGGATTTAGGCTGAATTTTTTTTTTCAGTATTTTGTGTTCCACCAGATTTATCTGAAGATCTCCTGTCCTGCATCCACTGGCCAATGGAGAAGGCCACACATAGGAGAACCAACATGAGAAGTTCACTTCTACAG